GATTTAGAGATCACATCACATCTAGTTTCAGCCTTCCCTTCCTCAGGCTGACAAATCTTTGTCTGTTTAGTTGTTCCCCACTGGGAAGTGATTCGTGTCTATAATCACCTGCCATTCTCCTACATAGCCTTTCCAGTTCTGCTAGGTCTTTTTTGAAGGGTGGGCAAGGAAAAAAACAAACAAAAAGAACAGAGGCAACACCCTCTCCCTATTAATAACTATGGAACTCTGCCACAATGGAGGTTTCATTATAATCTTTGTGAAATTAGGATTTGTGGGTTATTCTCCAAAGAAAAGAGGTAAAAAAAAGAAAATTTTGGTAGGGTAGATGTACGGCTAAAGTAGTGGGCTAAAAAGCAGGCTCACTGCAGGGCCAGGCTCCAAAATTCTGTTATGCGTGAATCACCCTTGGATCTGTAAAATGAGGATAAGAATACAACACAGATATTGTTATGAGACCTCAAATGATTATGACCCTCAGTTGGCAGGCGCCTAAGTGCTAAGTATCATTATTATTCTCTCCACTTTTGGAGTCCTGCCGTCAGCAAGAGTCTCTCTCCAGAGCTGAAACTACTGTCCTCCCAGACGGAGCCCAGAAAAAGCAGACAGCACCTCATTATAAAGAAACATGCAGCTGTGCTCATCTCGGCATAAAGGCATCAATTTTATTCAGCACTGTCAAAGGGAGACTAATTATACGGGGCAGGACACAGGGACCCTGAAGCAAGTGTCCTGAAAGAGACCCCTCTCATGGCGCTGAATAAGGGGCCTTCAGCCCTCTGCACTGACAGGCCATTCTGAGGTCCTCCGCGCTGGGCTCCCGCGCGCTGCCCCATAGACCCTCCTCTATTGCCCGCAGAGGGAAGTGCTGGACGGGCTGAGCTGTTGCCATGGCAGCCGCCCCCCCCCGCTCCCCACTCCCACCACTGTGGAATTATCCCATTCTGAAATGCCCCGTTGTGCCTATTAATACCAGGCTTCCCCCGAACAATGCTTCTCCCACCCTCCCAAAATAATCAGAGGACCCCAAGGAGCCGGTGCTCAGCAGCAGCCTGTGGCAGCACCGCGAACACAGCAACATTCATGCAGCGCACAGGGCTCTGGCAGCGCAGACGCCCCGTGCCGAGGGCCCAGCTGGAGCGAGGGCTGCTCTCCAGCGCCGGGGAGCTTCTCCCCTGCGCGACGGGGCTGATACCGCGTTATCAGACCTGGCAGGACACTATATAGAGGGCGGCCCTCCTCCACCCTCGCTCAGTCCGCAACTCTGGGCTCCTTTTGGATCCTCTCCCTGTTTTCACCAGCTGCTGCTGCTTTTTGGCTTGCGGTCACCAGGAGTTTCCTGAGATTCTCCCCAGCAGGAGCCTGTCTCCCACCTGCAGGACTGCGCCATAAACAGGTAAGAGACGAACTTCTGTTGGGAGAATAACCAAGGAGCTTTCCTAGCTGCACTGCGGTGAGGAGGCAAGACACACACAGAGGCTGACAATCACAGTGGAAATACTCAAAATTAAGAACAAGCAGCATTTAACAAAAGTTCAAACAATAATTTTGCTATTCTCATTCTTTACATCACTCCCTCCAAACATAAAAGTCCACAGGCTTCTGTACTGGGCACCCCGGCCCCTGTGCGGGGAAGGCAGGCAGCCATGCAGCATGAGCGGCCGCGACGCCGCTCTGGCGCTCCCGGCAGAGGGGTGGCAGGCTCAGCAGGGAGGGATGCTCAAGAGAAGGGCATTGTTTCTCATGAAAAATATTTTTACTGAAAGATAGGAAACACTCCCGTTTGCCAAAGTACTATCAGCATATCATTAAAATGGGCAAACATATTCCCAAACCAGAAACTTCTCTAGCTGGGAGTAAAAACAAGAAACTCTGAAACATACCCTTCACATTTATCTACAGGAGGCATAAGAACAAAACTGCCTAATTAGTGAGGGTAACTAATTTATGACGAGACACCCATTTCTGTTAATTGTCACACTGGTGCCAGGTAGAGCGCAGGCTGAGCGGTAGTCACACTGTGTCTACGCTGCCACCCTCGTGGGCCGGCGCCTTGCTTGGGAGCGCACACAGGGCCGTTAAACACGGCGGACGCACACGCACGGCGGCGAGCGGCGACACGCGCAGCCTGGCCGCGCGCACCGCGGTGCTCGGTTCGGCGCTGCGTACACGGCCGAACGTCCACGCAAGGCCCACGTGCGATCCCAGCAGAAAGCGCAGGACAGAGCGCCGGGCTCCAAAAGGGCTGTTCTGTCTGCAGCCTCATACAGCTACGAGCACAAATGACACGTCTCGGGCTGTAGGAAAGTTTCTGGTTTCTGGTATGACAAGCTTTTTAAGGACTTAGAATATGCTTTTTTTTCTTTTTTTCTCTTTTTTGGGTGGAGGGTAAGCTTATCAAATACAAAATAAAAAGCAAAAGCCCCAAAGTAAACACATTAATTTTAGGTAGGTTGGAAACACCTGAAAGACAAAAACAACTTTAAATAATAGCAGAGGACTTCCATACTGAGTACAGCTACAAATATACAATTATCACTCTTGGCTGCTTTTTGGGGGCAATACTTCTATTCTGGAAAAGAGTTCTCATTTAACTCTAATGCAACAGTGTTTTTTTCCTAAGTTAGTCAAGGACAATGTTATGATTTTCCAGGTAGCAAACAGAATTGTAAAGAAAATTTTTTTTTAAAAAAAAAAAACACCCTTCTATCATAAAATTTAAGCAAAGATAGAGACTCACTTCTTTTTCTATCATTTCTAGCAATGAAAAATACCTCCCTCCACCCTTCTCTCAAACCTTAATGACATCACAGCAGCTCTCCTACAAAAAGACTCACTTTAAAAGACAGAGTCTATTTACATTTTCTTGTTATTTCTAAGCCTTCCTCTTTTTGTCACTGGTTCCACTGGACTTCTGGATATCCTTCTTTCCCCTCCACCCTGCAGCGTTTTGCCAGGAAATCATGATAGAATCAGATAGAAATCACTGGGAGAACTCTGACAGCATGTTTCAGACAGCAGGACCATCCTTGCCTCAGCTTTTTAAGCTTGTCCAGTCCAGCATTTGCTACTTTTTCAGTGGTGTCTTGACCAGGTATAGAGTAACACTTCACCACCAGACTGCTTGACCACTGACAGGTGCGTACGCGACTAAGGATCACATCCCGTTTTTGCAGATGAAAAAAACCATTTGAACAAAATGCTAATCACAAAAGATCATCTAGCAACAACTGCAACTAGTAAGCAGCATTGTAAATTAACAGCCAGAAAAAAAGCTACAGCCTCACCTATCCCTCTATTAGTACTTAGAAAAATAAGAAATAAGAAAATTAGAAAAATACCTATACAAATTAATTCCACCCAGGGAAGACAAATACTTAAGTATTCAATGTTATCATCACACAGAAATTTCAAGCTCTTGTGTTCAGAAACACTTGTTGATTTTACTTTTTAAGGGACAATTGAACACTAGGAACAATTGTGGGGTTCTCTGTAAATCCAGAAAATTCATGCAGAAAACAGCAGCGATTAATTTTCCTTTTGAGCACATGAGCAATGGAAACAGAGTAGCTGAAGAGTTCTTGTGTATTTTTATAGAATTCCATGGCCTTCAGGAAAAAAAAAAAAAAAAAAGGCTGTACAGTCTCCCTTTCATACATACTTTATTAGCTCCAAGATAACACTATGTTGCCATCCCTAGGGCTACAAAGAAGCATGCATCTAGCAGCTATTAGTACCCACACACACAAAACTTGAGCCTCTTTTGTGCCGTAAACATGCAGAATACACAAGCAATGCCTGAAGTAAGAAGGACCCTCTGTGGCCACATACTGGAATTTCATTCATTCCGCTCCCTTCTGTTGATTTCTGTCTCCGAGTGTGAACTAAGCAGACGCTGTCCAGAGTGTATCCATCTCCAGCTACTATAGTTTTCTGTCTACCTGAAAGTGACAGCAGCCAAACGATGGAAATTACCTCAGAATTTTGTTTCCATTTGCTGTATTATTGGTCTGTTCTTAATGAGCTATTTGAATTTTCTCAGTCACCAGTGCCTACAGATATCTGAATAAAAAGTTCTGTCAGGAAGTTGGATGCACTGCAGAGGGAAAGGGAGCACGCTGATCTCAAAGAGAAAATAATTTATAGACATTGTCATTGCTGACAAATATGTCAAAGGATTAAAACCCAGAGTTCATAGTTTCTGTAAACAAAATGCAAACGGCCAAGACAAACAAAGTGTCTTTAAGTCTTTGGCTATTTTTACTTCAGTATTTTTTCCAAGTGTTTTCAAATCCACTTTTACTGACACTGCCCTGGCAATCTCTACAATGCACTCTAATTCTCTGCTTTTTTCTTGTACATTTCCTCCATTTAAGCTTTTTTCAAGCTTCCTTACCTACTTATCCTTTAGAAATGCACTGAATATTATGAAGTAATAGCCAGTCACTACAAAAGAAATGATGTGCGTAATGGAAACATTGCCGTGAATACTCATGCATCTCTCAGGAAACCACAAAACAGGGACAATGCTGGAGATTCACACTGCCTGCCTTCCCTGCTGCCTATGAAGAATGATAAATGTTTACAAAGCTGTGGGTAGGTGCCCAGAAAGTAATTTTTAATGACTCCAATTCCCGATCTGTCCTACATCCGTTCTAGAAACAAGACAGATATTCTAAACTAAGTCATCTTACAACAGATAACTGCATTCAGAGAAGCAGATTCATTCGGAGATCTTCAGTCCTAAGCTGGTGTTTCAAAATTAAGCATAGCAGTTACTTTCTAGCTAGACACAATGCCCACTACCACTTTTCCATAAACATAAAACACGAACATTTAACTACTCTGTCGTCCAACAGATCTCAGTACAATCCGGATACAGATTTGTAACTGGCTAGCTATCTCTTTAGAATTATTAATCATTATGATTTTTAATGGTCTCATGGGCTTTCTTCCCATAATAACAGTAAGATACTGTCTTGATTCTTTCAGGTTTCTGCTTTGTGCTCCAAGGCTCTTGTGAAGAATGAACAGCCAGGATCCCTCAAGCCTGCTCTTCCATTGCTCAAACCAATCAAATTTCTCATTGAAAACTTCAGAGCAATGTGGCAAGGAAACACATCTGGAGAACATCCTTTTTGCCACCTTCTATTTCCTTGACTTCATCCTGGCCTTTGTTGGCAATGCCCTAGCCCTCTGGCTCTTCATCCGGGACCGGAAGTCTGGCACACCTGCCAACATTTTCCTGATGCACCTTGCTGTGGCCGACCTGTCCTTTGTGCTGGTACTTCCCACCCGGTTGGTGTACCATTTTTCAGGTAATCACTGGCCATTTGGTGAGATCCCATGCAGACTCATGGGCTTCCTTTTTTACCTCAACATGTATGCCAGTATCTACTTCCTCATGTGCATCAGTGTCGACCGTTTCCTGGCCATTGTGCACCCCGTGAAGTCTATCAAGCTCCGCAGGTCCCTCTATGCCCATCTGGCATGTGCCTTTCTCTGGGTTATAGTTGCTGTTGCGATGGCACCACTGCTGATCAGCATGCAGACTGTACAGGTGGACAACACAACAGTCTGCCTACAGCTCTACAGAGAAAAGGCATCACGCCACGCTCTTGTGTCCTTAGCAGTGGCTTTCACCTTCCCATTCGTTACTACAGTGACTTGCTACTTATTAATCATCCGAAGCCTGAAGAGTGGCAACAGGGTGGAGAAACACCTAAAGGAAAAAGCAATCAAGATGATTGTTGTGGTGCTAGTCATCTTTCTGATTTGCTTCGTACCTTACCACGTCAATCGCTACATTTATATCCTGCATTATGACGGGACCAAGACTTCCTGCGAAACGCAGCGCATTCTGGCACTCGGGAACCGCATTACTTCCTGCCTCACCAGTCTAAATGGTGCTCTTGACCCAATCATGTATTTTTTTGTAGCAGAGAAATTCCGTGAGGCTTTGTGCAATCTGTTTTGTGGTAAAAAGACTGTAATGCTGCCTCAGACTTACGAGGGTAAGACAAATGAAAGCTCACTAAGTGCCAAATCTGAACTGTGAACGTAATTCTTGCTAATGCTTCCACGTAAGAAGACTATTCCACCAAACCAGCCAAGAGAGCAGGCGCGCACCTATACAGACAAGGGACAGCCAACCCAGAGTCAAACTCATTTCTGAGGAGGGAAGTTCTGTCATTTTGGGGGGACTACAGTTAGGAAGAAGACCTCTGACAGAAATAATGTTTTCTTGTCCTTCTGAAACTGCAAACGAAGTATGATCATAGTCCAACTGATTTCAAAGACATGACACTGATGGCTGGACACTGAAGAATTGGGAAGAGAACAAAGAAGAACTTATATGGACAGTCTGTCCTTACAAATAAAATTCACCCCCTAAAAATATTCAGTAATGTCTCTGCCTCTGCATAAAGCTTACAGCCTGCTTTATAATTTTGCATCATGCCAGTACTATAGATCTTTTGCTGAGGTAGATCTGCCCTAACAGTATAGAAGCACTTCTAGTTCAATTCAGCAAACTCAAAGTGTTTAGTCATAGTAGACAGAAAATTGGTGCTAAACTATGACAGTGAAGAAAAAAAAAATGCAAAAGGCTGCACTTCCACCAACTCAGGACTGGAATTAAGATAGGAGTCACAATTGCTACACTGCTTGCCAGCACTTATTGCTAGAGATGAGCAATAAGCAGCACACTGGCTTTTCTATCTGTCCTTTGCTATGGCCTGAAGGCAGACAGAAGCAGAACAACCTTTACTACAGTACCTTTGTTATGTAGCTCCTCACAGTATATCAGATATTCTGATAACTAAAGAATGAATGGAAAAGAGCTGTTTAGGAATACAGCATGCAGCTTTGCTACTTAGTGAATCACAAAATTCAGAACCTGTTTTAAAAAAAATCGCCAGGTGAAAAGCGAACACATGAAGAAGTGAAGCCCAGTTTGCCCAGAAGAGATTCCTGTCTTTGAGCTGTTCCATAATTACGTAATTTCTGTGACTTACTTAGAAAGACTATGAATTTGCTGCAGATAAAGTAGGTTAGACTTAACTATCCTCACTGAAACAAACTGCATCCAGTGGAATGCATCTGTGAATCACAGGCACACCAGGGAAGCAGAGATCATGAGCAACGAGAAGGTCCCCAAAGTTTCCAGAAATATTTTATAGACGAATACTTTTATGCTACACATGTATGAACAAATCCCTATATACTGCTATAAAAACATTCCTACCTAAAAAGCTTAGGTGTCACAAGAAAAACTATTAAGCCCACCTCTAAAAATCTAAGGCACAGGAGCTGCACGCAGGATGTAACAGAAAAGGGAGGTAGAGAGGGCAACCTGCTGGACAGGGTACCAATATACAATTTTTCTTTTTGTTTCTTGGCCATTTTCACCATTCAGGGAGAACAGAGGCTGCAGGATACTACCAGGCTTTGCTCAAGTCATACAAAGGCCTGAAGTTAACTATGAATCATGCAACACTGAATGCTAACTGCTGGATTGTTTTATTTTCTTATTGTGATGTGCTTTTGTACACCTATCCTTTTATGTTTCTAATTACTTACTTCTCAATTAAATGGATTAATCTAACTTCAGAACTTGTTTTTATATTTCTGTGTCTAAAACTAATGGTTTACGAAGACTACAGAAATATTATACTGAATATGTTTTCCTGTAATCCTAGTATTATCCTCTTGGTCTTTTGCTATGCCTTGATTTCCTGCCGAGCAGCTTACTTGGTAAGTACTCTGCCCTGGATCACATAATCCCTCCGTTTCTCACCTGCTATCCAGGTGGATTCTGAAAAGAGCTGGAGAGCTCCTGCTTTTTCTTACCTGCCAGCATTCTTCACAAAACCCAAGTCGGCAAGGACCACATCGCAGAGTTCACAGCGGAAACACTCCGGGTGCCAGTTATTATTCATTGCCTTGATAACACGGCCAATGATGAACTCACCTACGAAAGGAAAACATCCTTAGACACATGCATAAAGTCACTGCATCAAAAATCTGGTACCCTTCATCATTCTTTCCTTTTAATTCCCCAAGAAATACTACATTCTAACTTTGGAAGAAACAGTTCTTCCCGCAACCAGAATACACTAAGTTACTGCTGATACCATGTTTTGTTTCTATCCAGAGACCCCGCTCCTTAAAATACCACCACAATCCCAGCACAGGGGTGGATGTCACCACAATGACGGCAGCACCTCACAGCAGTGCAGCTGTATCCCTGGTGGGCACTGACATGGATGCATAAGTTGAAAGGAAAAAAATGTGCTAGCAGAAGGGCCGCTCCCACTTCACACCCTGCTAGACACATCCGTAGCTGGATGAGGCTGTACACATTCGTGTTCGGAATCCTTACCGCACTCCCCGCAGCACGGGGCAAACAGCATCTGAAAGTCGTGCTCACAATATTTCCGACCTTCAAACTGTGAACAAAACAAGACAGAAAATTAGTCCAGGTCAGTCAAGCATTTCCCTCCCCCTCAACTTTTTACAACTCCCCAAATTTTTATCAAATAAACTTTATTTTCTACATATGGGTTCAGCCTCATGGTGAATTTGCTTAGCAAGTAGTTAATCAACGGCAACACTGCTATAAGAGGTTAAAAACCTCAGAGTCCTTTTCCTCAGAGTTATTTTCTTACAGTTTGCTTTATTTTTGCTTTAATTTTAGCTCATTTTTATTCATGTAATTCAGAAATATTAATCGTGAAGTATAAAACTCACCACAAATTATGAATGCAACATGTTTAAAATAATGTGTTATTCAAAATACATGCTTGCACATGTTGTGTAAAAAGATTTAAACTCCAATTTTGAACAATTCAGCATTTTTAGTTGTGGAATTGGAAAAAAAAATGTGTGAAAAATTGGAAAAAACATAAAAAGAGCTAAGAACTCACTTATTTGAAATACAACGTCAAAAAGTGTTTTCTGTTTTCTTAAATTCCCTAACACCGCTTAAGCAGGTAGTGTGTGTGACAAAAAAAAGGGAAATACATGGGAAACCTCTAAATGCTAGCAGTGCAGAGTTATGGCAAATAAATTACATGTGTAAGGGAGATGACAATTCAGACTTCTGCCATAATTCTCCCTTAATTCATTGCTTTCTTTGGAGATATTTCCCTTATACATCATACCCACAAATACTCTGATTAGTTCTACTTAGAGGAAATGGAAAGATGGATGTAAATGCTTCCATATTGGATAACTTTCAAATCTATCTCTAGTTCTCACATGTAGGTACTCCATAATAGTCATATTTATGCCTGCAACCATAAATGCACAGGATATAGGTACAACTTGGGAGAGAGAGCAAGCCTGTGTGGGCTCGTATACATTCCTGAAGGAAGTGCAAGAGGAATCACTGACAAGTTTTGATATAAAATACGTCAGTTGTACAGTTACTGCTCTGTAACTTCTTTGACACATGAGACTGATACATTCTGAGTTTTACAGGCTTTTATGTTAAATATTTTCTGTTCTTTTTTTTAAAAAAAAAAAAAAAAAAAAAGTCAAAAAAAAAAGTCAAACAAGATGGTAACAGTAGGAAAATCCCAAAAGTTACCTTCCTCATCCCCCCATCTGTTTTTTAGATCCTTCACAGCCAGTTTCCCAATTCAATTTAAATGATGTTACTTTGACTGGTTTGAGCAAGTGTGAGATACAAAAAGGGGAAAGACTCCCTTTTTCATCCTTCTGGGTACACTGATGACTTTCCAGCTCTCAGTTTACACATGTAAGCTCTGAGGTGCTAAGGACCTTGCCTTTAATTGAAACACCTATTCTCTTGGGCACATCCATTTAGCTTGGCAGAGAGGGGCAGAGAGAAGCAAATGAAGTTGACACAAAACAACACCTAATCCAACAAGAAACTGAGTTTTTACAGCCTGCTTAAGAGCCCAGGATACTCAGCATTATACAGGATAGGGCTTATAATATAGTTAGTCAAACAGCTTTCCATAGGTTTCTAACTACTGTGGCCTCACCTCATAGAAGAGCCCATCTGGGAACTGACGAAAACACTGAGCACAGACAAAGCAGTTCTCATGATAGAGCTCCCCATTGCTGTTGACAATCCTTTCCGCAGGATCGAATCGAGCCTGGCAGCGTTCACATACTGCATTTGCAAGAGCATCAGACATATTACTGGAACAAAGATAAGAGAAAGACCATGAGCAATGTTAGAGACAGTGACATGAGTATACTCCTCATCCAAATCGCCCCAAAATCAACAAATACAACACTTCTATTGCTTTTAACTTCCTTTTATGTGAAAAAAAGAGCAAATGAGTCATCTCAGCACTGACATCAGCTAGAAATAATGTCCTTGCAACTCACAGAGGGGAGGCAGCGCCCCTGCGGCAGAATGAACTCATGTGGCACTTGTCCATCGCGCGCTTTTGGCCGCTTCACCCGTGCACGTCATTACGGCATCTTGCTCCCAGCACATATCAACTATCCATTACTTAAGCTAAACACGTAGCTCCAAGCGCAGCAAATCCAATGAATCCTGACTTCTTTGGGGTTCTAGTCTCAGGATGTGCTCTCGTGAGGTTTCTCATGTGTTTTTTTTCATACCTGACGAGGTGCAGCAAGCACTAATCTCACACTGAAAGAATTAATGAGGCCTTTCTCCTCTGCCCATCAGCCAAGATTCACTAGAACATCCAATGACTCTGCCTTCCCAACAAAATAGTGGAGATTAGCAACAAGTTTAAAAGGTAGCGGAAGACAGGAGTCTCCCTGGCTGCCTGGGGAAATGCATCAGCTTCATTTCCTCAGAAAGTGAGGCTAAAAAAAGCCCAAAGCCACACTTGCAGTCTTGCAAATGACCATTTCCTCTTTCTCAAGTGTGGAACAACCTTAACCTTTTCCACAAAACCGTCACAGTTTCTGTCATAGCAACCTACGTTCTGCATACAGTAGCAGAACGCAGTTTTAAAATCCTGTATCACATAGAATCAAAGAATCATCATGGCTGGAAAAGACCTTCAAGATGGGGAGGAAAATATATGCTAATGAAAGAAAAAAAAACCAAAACTTCTAATAATATAAAAAATTAATATTGCTCCAATTTTGGACATAGAAAGACTATCTCATACCATCTGAGCTACCTCTAAATTCTATACTACTGGAAAGGTGGCAGGTTAAAAAATGTCCAGTTCA